TCCCTGCGGCCACGCGGGAGCCTCTGCATCAGCAAGCACAGCAGACTCAGGAAAATGCCTGGGCAGGTTCAGCCTGTGCCAGGGAGGAAGTGCGCCCACATGGCCTGGTGCCCGGGCCCCTGGCTGGAGGCCTGGCAGTGGTCAGCCTGCTGGAGTGGATGGGCTCTCCTGGGGGCCCAGTGGGTGAGCTCCGCTGATCTGGGAGGGTGTGTGAGGGAGGTCTTGGCGGCGAGGGGAATGAGGGTGGGCCAGGCTGGCGGGCACAGCGGTTTCTGGCCGGTAGTTTTGGGCACCTGCGGGCAAGTGGGTCTTGGAAGTGTGCCTGTGAGGTGGGGCTGTGAGGGTTGTGGCCGGCAGTGTGTGAGCAGGTGTGGGGCCTGCACCAAAGACGCTGGGCTGGGAGGGCTGTGACCTGGAACTCGGCTGGGGGACAGAAGCAGGTGGGCCCTGGGAGCTGGGGGCCCTCCGCAGGGACCCCGGAGCCCACAGTGCCCCTCAGAGCTGTGCTGCCTGGGCAGCGTGACTTGCCTCTCTGAGCCCACACTTGCGCACCGGAGGGCAGCGAGGAGGGGCACCCGGGTGGGTGCGTTATCATGGGGATGGTTCCCGCCCTTTCCTCACCGTGAGGGCCATCTCCCACGTTCTTACACCCCTTACGCAAAAGCCCCACTCGACTGTCCTGTGTTCTTCGGGAAGGGCTGCCCGGAGGACCCCTTTAGGATCCCCAAAAGGGTTACCATCACCTTCTGAGTTGAGCTCTGGGCCTTGAATTTCACTGTCCAGCAGGGCTGCTGGGAGGCTGTGGTTCCCACCCTCTCCCCAGGATAGCAACCCTTCCTTGTCACCTCCGGCCCCCTGCCACTGTCCCCCAACCTATTAGAGCCTCCCGGTTACACCCCCAACCCCACACCTGCTCCTATTGTCCAAGACCTGCCTCCCTTCATCGTGTGTGTGTGTGTGTGTGTGTGTGTCTGTGTTGTCAGTGTTGTCAGTGTATCCAGGGTCCCCTCCAGGCAAGCCAGGAGCACCCCAGCCCACCAAGCTACCATCTCTGCAGAACTGTCCCAAGAAGGCAGAGGGGTACCAGGCAAGGAGGGCAGCATTTGGGGAGGGGCCACTTGATTGCACTGGTGTGGCAGGAACAGGGCAGAAGCCCCTGCTCTGAGAGGGTTTTTGTTTGAGGGCCCCCTAAGGAGACCGAGGGGCGCATGACTGAGGGAGCAAGTCTGCGGCTGGCCCCCAGTGAGGTAGAGTCAGCACTGTTGCCTGCATTTCTGGGGTGCCCGGTGAGCTCACCTCCCAGGGAGGCTCATGGAGGGAAGGGGGGAGGATGAAGGTTTTGAGGTCTGGGGCTTATGCCCACCATTCTGAGCAGAGTGTGGTGTGTGTTTGTGCAGGGGGAACCCCCAAATGAGGTACAGCCTGAGGGGGCATGGGGCTGCCTGGGCCTGGGTGCATGTCCTCAGCTGCCGGGTGAGGACCCTGCACGTGTGTGAAGCAGGACTGGCGACACGAAGTTGGGGCAGCAGGAATCAACGGGTCTGGACAGTTGTGGACTGAGCATCCGTGGCAAGCTCTGCGTTAGGGGGTTCACCGCCTGCCCCACCCAGCTTCAGAGGAGCCCCTCCTGCCACAAGTGGCCCCAGGTGTCGGGGAGCAGTCTGAGCCCCGAGGGTCTGCTGACTGTCGGCTACCAAACCTTTCATTTTCAGCACAGCTGGGAGGGGTGACCCAGGGGCTGTTGAGACACAGCTGCCCCCTCTGCAGGGACCCCCAGGGATTCCCTCCCCAGCACTCCAGGGCTCCCAGAACAGGAAGCAGGGCTGAGCTGCGGCCCAGATGGGGGGAGGAGCAGAAATCATTTTTCCCCTAAGTACTGTCCCTGTCATGTGATTGGTTCCAGTCCTTGGGGAATTTGAATGGGGGGCCAGGAGCCTTGGACGTGAGGGGAGGAGGCAGGAAGAGGAGGTGGGCAGGTGAGGGTGAGGGGTGAGGGAGGGCATTGGGAGGAGAATGAGTGGCAAGATGTTGGGGTGCTGGTGCCCCCCATGCCTAGAACCAGACAGCCACCCTCATGATGTCTTTGCTCGGCTGGGGGTGTGGGGGGGGCAGCTGTCTGTGGAAGAGTCCCAGGTCAGCCCCAGCCATGGGGCCTCCTTGCTAGGGACCCGGCTGCCCTGAGCCCCTCGGCTTGTGTTTGAGAGGGTGGGCCTGGGACAGTGGACAGAGCCTGAGCCTTTCTGGTAGGAGCCCTGGGCTCAGGGACAGGGAGTTCCAGGAGTCGTGTGGGCCTGCGTGTGCACGGGTCACGTGTGCAGCCACCACGTCTGTCCCCTTCCGGAAGGCCCCCTGCCCCCTTACAGGAGACCCTGTGCCCATGCAGCCCCCACGCCCTAGGCCCCTCTCCCAGCCCCAGGCGTCCGAGTTCGCCTCTGAGCACCCCCCTCATCCCCCGTCCTAGGGGTGCCCCAGCGTGGGCGGCGTCTGGCTCAGTGCAAACAGCTCGGTGTTGTCAGGGTCCCACGTGGGTCAGTTCATTTCTCCTTGGCGGGGAGTCCTGCATGGGAGGTGGGCGGGGCTCGCTGGGTGGAAAGTGGGTGGGGCTTGAAGCGTGCGAGGTGGGCGGGGCTCGTCTGGTTGGTCAATCCGATGATGGGCAGACCCTGGTGGTTAGCGCCACCTGGGGGTCGTGGACGGCGCTGCATGGACGTGGGCTAGGGAGACTCGAGTGGACGTGGGATTGCCAGGTCATATCGTGGGTGGCTGTGGGTTGGCTGTCCGCTCAAGGTCAGTGAGTTAGGTCGTAGGTCAATGTTTAACTCTTCAAGGAAGCAAACGCCGTCTCCATCCTCTCTGGCCTTGTCTCTCTGATGGAGGAGGCCGGTTCCTTCTAAGCGCTCACAGTTAGGGTGGGCTAGTCTGTTTCCATCCCCTCCACAGCGGACAGACAGGTGCTCTGTGCACCGAGTATGGTCCCTGACCTTAAACAGGGTGTCTGGTGGGTGGTGAGGGGAATGGGTCATTGGGAGACTGGGTGGGTAGGTGGGTGGTTGGATGACTAGTGGGCAGATGGGCACATGGCTGGGTGGGTCCCAGACTTTAAAAGAGGTGTCTGGTGGGTGGATGGACAAGTGGATGACTGGGTGGATAAGTAGGTAGATAGGTGGGTGGCTGAATGGATGGCTGGGTGTTTGGCTGGGTGGATGGGTAGATGGATGAACAGGTGGGTATTGGGATGGGTGGTTGGGTGTTTGGCTGGGTGGCTGGATGGGTGAGCAGGCCAGCCTGACGTGAGTGACTCTCAGGTGCACCCCACACACACCCCTCCCCCGGGGTGGAAGGCAGACCCTGAGAGGGGCCTCTCCCATGGGCTGGGCTGGGCTGCTCCCTTCCTCAGCAGGCCAGGTGGGGTCTCTGCCCAGCTGACCCTCTGTGGCTTGTTCACCACC